TAGATCCCTCATCTGGCGTTGGATGACGATACAGATGGAGGCCCGCATTGGAGCACGGAACTGAGCCCCCCAAGATCCAAATGGAAGGAAGAAAATGACGATGGACTGCGAGGGATACTATCACCCACTGATACAAGGGGTCGGATCTAATGAGAGTTTACCAAGGCCAGATGGACCGTGACTGAACGAGCATGTGATCCAACCAGATTCTTTGAATGTGGCCGGATTTTCTGAATGTGGCTGGCCTGCAGTCTTACTGAGAAGCCATTGACAATGACACTGGGACTGGTTTCCTCTGGATATACTGGATTTTTGGGATCCAGTCTGTTTGTATGCTCACCTTCCTGGACCTGGAGGGAGGGGGGAGGAACTTGGACTTCCCACAGGGCAGGAGACCCTGACTGCCCTTGGGGACAAAGAGGGAGGAGAAGAGGGAGGGGGGGAGTGGGAGGGCGTTGGGAGGAGGGGCGTAAATGGAAACTCTTTATAATTTAATAAAATTACTTTCAAAAAAAATAAATAAAAATAAAAAAAAAGAAATAAAATCTGTCTCATGGATGTGTTCCATTTTGTAGGAATTGGAAAATTAAAGTATGTACACCACACCATTGATACCTATAAAGGTTTTCAATGGGCAACTACTTTGGGTTCAGAAAAGGCTGATACAGTAATCACACATTTACTCGATGTTATGGCCATTGTAGGTATACCTGCACAGATAAGAACAGACAATGCTTCAGCTATGTCTCTAAGAAGACAAAACACTTTTATGCTTATTATAACATAAAGCATATTACAAGTATATCAAATAATCCAACAGGTCAGGCATTTATAGAAAGATAAAAATCAAACTATAAATTGTATGTTAAAGAAGCAGAAAAGGATGATGAATCACCCCTATAAATAGATTGCATAAAACTTTATTAGCCTTGAATTTTCTTAATGAGCAAGGAAATACAGTTGTAAAAGGACATTGGACAATAGAAAAAACTTCTGAATTAAATCAGTCAGTGTACTTCAAGGATGTGTTGCCCTCAGAATAAAACCAGGAGATGTGCTATGTTGGAGAACAGGTTTTGCTCTTGTTTCCACAGAATAAAAAATTTGAATACCATCAAATTCAATCCAGATTCAATTTCAAAAGGAGAAAATTCGTGGTAAACAGAAATGACAACTCATCCACAAAGTTGACAATCCTACAAGCTACAAGGAAACCTCACAAGGGTTGGGGCAGGTTTCTTTTCCTGTTTTTGCAGGAATATAAAAAAATACCCATCTTTGAGACATCAAGAGACCTTAGACATCTAAAGAAGAAAGGTTCGCTATCCAAAAATAATCACTAGCAAAGAAAAATCTGGCTTATGATACCAATTTTCTCAGCGGGTTAATATCTCAGTACGTAAAATACATATCTCCTTTCTTCTAAGTATAACAATAGTCCCAACTCACTTAAAAATCAAAGCTGACTTTGGATTTGGACTGTGCCTCTCCTTCTCTAATCCAAGCATGTTGTTAAAAGAAAAATTCAGAGTTTCTGTCTCATATAAGAAGAACCACCTGATGTGGGACAGAAGGAAAATAAAAATCTAGGGACTAAAGTTATCAAAATTGTGCTTTCAAAATTCTGACTCTCCCTGTACTTATTTTTGTCTCTATGTTACCTTTATTTTAATATATTTCAATAAAAGTTTAGTCTTTCCATTTTGATGTGAATAACATTTAAGATTTTTCAGAGTGAACAGTAAATTTTCCTGCAGTAATCTTGGAAGTCTCCAGGACGAAGATGAAGCCCCACAACAATTCCATCAGGATCATATATTGCGATTCAGCTTATAGCACCACTTAAATAACGGCTTGGACTAAAAACTGCTTAGGACGATTTAGGTGGCTTGCTCAGATGATCATCCAAACAGACTAACCAGAACTTGAGACAAATCCTGAACTTTCCATTATGCATAGACTGCACAACAATTACTAAAGTTACCTTTCTCATAACTTGACAATTAAACAAAACTTCTTCTTTTCAGAATCCCCTAAAGATGCCATCAACCCAAAAAGTAGAAAGTAAGTTTAAGAATATGACACCCACATTCCCAAGGGGAATAGTGGATGGGTTTTGGTCATTCAATGCAATATGTATTTTGATTATTGTTTAGGAGTGTCGGTTACAAGTTATTATTAGTAATGGTCAGGAAAAAGCTAAACAAAGGAAATTATATTCAAGGGATGTTTATTAAATCTACTCTGGAAAGAAAATGTGAGGCTATAGATAACATAAGATAAGAAGTTAGGTTATTGAATCTACTTTTAAAAAGCAACTACAAGTTTTAGACATTTTACATTTGAATATACTTTTGCATATTGTATATAAACTTTGTAAATTGATACAAATTTGAGATTAGTTTTGTTAAAACATATTGTTCATATGCTTCCAATCTTGTTCAAGGTATTATACATATATAGCTCATTTAAAAATATAATGCAAACTTCCAGTCCTTGAATGTTTTATTACCAATTGTTTAGACTAATAAGGAAATTCAGGTTAGTAATTAGTCACTTGTTATAATATAACATATATTCATATTAGATATGTTTTCAAGGTCAAACAAAGATAAATTTTTGGTAGACAAGTTATCCTCAAATACTTCAGATTATTATAGAATATAGCACTTAAGATATTTAAGAACATAAGCTCTTTTTTATGACAATGTGATATGTCTGCTTCTGGCAGCACCAATCTACTTCAAAGAAGATAATCATTATCACAGAAACTCTACATAGAGTTTACATTCTTTGTTTCAAAAGTAATCCACTGGGCAAGAAAACGTCCTTGCCTCAACTGTTAACAGTATGCTGTTCTAATTGGACGAGCAGGATTCAAAATAAAGACAAGGAGGGACAGCCCTTCAGAATATTCCGTTTCAAAAAAAATCTGTCAGATATGCTAGGTCTGTTTGGTGAAGATGGATGCCCTGTGCTGCAGAGGAACTCAGGGTTGGGAGAGCCGTTTCTGTCATTTCTCACAATTTGGAAATCGCTTGCTTGCACTTCTTACTTACTCAGTTAATAATATTTCTTCTTGGGTCTCTGAGTGAGTTAAAGTTAAGATAGGTATAGTTATAGCTTTTCTTATGATAGACAGTAAATTAGGTACAAGACGTTGGACTCAACAAGATAGGGTAGACACGGAGTACTTTCTCATAATTTGTCAAATGCAAATGGACTAGACATTGATGATGTATTTATTGCCTGTATATATTGTATATACTTATTGTACTTCTAGTATATAGTTTTTCTTATATTAGTTATAGCCTTCTTTTTTATTTTAGTCAAAAAGAGGAAATGTAGTGATGTTTTATTCGTATTTTAATAAATAAAGCTTGCCTGAATGCAAAACAGCCACACTAGTCAGTCACATAGGACAGGCAGTGGTGGTTCACACCTTTAACCCCAGTACAAGAGAGGAATATAAGGCGGGAAAGACATGAACTCTCTCTCTCTTTCAGTCTGGGTGTTTCATAGAGATAAGAGCTCTCTAGTGCCATGGCTTCTGTGCTTTTCTGATCTTCAGGTTGAACTACAATGTCTGTCTCTGGGTTTTTAATTAATCATGCTACAGAAAAAAATGGTAGTATTATGGTAGGAAGAAGTTGGCTGAACATACTGCATTCACACTGAGATATCTTGGGGCGGAGAGGGAGTGGGAACACAGAAACCGGGATCAGCAACTGCGAAAATAAAATCGTCAATCTCAGGACAAGTGACTTCAGCAAGGTTCCATCTCTCAAAAGATCCATAACCTCCCCAACAGAGCCACCAGCTGGGAACCCAGTGTTCACACACAGGCATCTGGAGCGACTTCATAGTCAACCACAAAAGGCATCATGGACTCACATGAGCGCTGGAAACCCGAAGGCAGAGGTCTGAGAAGAGCATCTCCCACATGAACCTGGGATCCACATCATCCTCCGCTCTTCTCCGTCTCCCATAACCTACAACAGAGCAGGAACATCAGAGGTGCACTGAGTGGTCCATGGGGCAGAGGGAAGCTAGGAGCAGTGGTGACCACCAGGTAGGTGCTTATAATCCCTGCACCCAAAATAGTGCGCTGTTCGTTTGTTACACTCTGTCCAGTTCTCGGGCTCCCCCTTTGCACTGCAACAGAACACAAGCTGCAGCTTTTCCTTCCCCACTGTCCACACCTCCTGTGGATTAACACCAGCAAGCATCCCCCCACACCTGCCCCTTTAACACACAAGTCAAGCAGATCAGAAAAACTGGGAACACACACCCACGACACCCCGAAAATACATAGATAATAGAGAAACCAAGGAACAAAATACCCATGGAACCCAGACAAACTCTGAAATCATCCCAAAAACCTGATACCTAGTTGGCAGCATAAGAACAGAATCAAGGGTGGTGGCAGAGTGATCGTCCATGGAGTAACGGTTGACCATCTAGGAGAGGCTGGAGCAGTAGTGGCTGCTGGGAAGGGCGCGAGGCGATGCCAACTGACAGGGGCGGTATTGGGATGCACAGGCAGCAGAGCAGCAAGATGGACTCTTGGACATGCACCGCTGCAGAGCTGCTATGGTGACAGCGGAGAGAGGGGCCTCAGTGTCCCAGCCTCCTTCGGTCTTCAATGCCCGTTCCCCAGCTCGCCAGCTTTTTTTGTTGGAATATACTTTGTGCATTCATGGTAATTCTTAGTGTGAGTACAGACTTCTGTCAGGCTCAGCACAGCATTTTCGCTGACAAGTAAGCTCTGCGGATACATGTGTCATAGCTAACATTTCCTTGAAGACTCTGGATTCTGAGAATGGCCTCAGAAGTGGTAGACATTTTTTTTAACTTGCAAGCAAATTTATTTTATGACTCCAGTAAAATGAAACATCAAGTAAGCAAATGTTTTACCCTTTTAACTTGTCTCACTAGGGCCTTAATATATTTAAAGGCTGCTTAAATTTTGTATGTTGTTGGATTTTTTTTTTTTTTTGGAGGCTGTAAGTATCCATCTGCATTCATTTGAGACCGTAGTTGAATTTGGATTGAAGTGGATTCTGAACACTTCTGCCTGTGATGAAGAGAGAAGTTTTGTAAGGAGTAAACAAGTTGAATAGAGAACATAGTGATCAATAATAGGCATTTTATGGTCTTTTTAATGTTTTCCGCTGAGAAACATTTTCAAGATTTATTGAAGCTCCCCCACCCCATTTTCTCTACTACACTCACACTTGTGCTCATACTTTTTATTTGCCCTAACGAACATCCAGCCTCTGTAGAGATCTCTTACAAGAACATGTGCTTTCTGATAACTCACAACTCCACCAATCCTACTCTCAACGAGTTCATAGGAACTTCAGAAGTACTGAGTGACAACTTTGGTTCAAGTTTGGTGCTACCTATGATAAAGCTGCAGGTGCAAAAGGAGGAATCCATGTTCTAGATTGGCCATTTGATGACGGTGCTCCACCCCTTAATCAAACTGTAAATGACTGGCTAAATCAAGTTTGGTGAAGAGTCAGGTTGCTGTGCTGCAGTGCTTTGTGTGGCAGGCGTGGGAAGGGCCCTGTGCTACTGGCACTTGCTTTGACGTGGGATGCAGTGTGATAATTATCTTTCTGGGTCTGGGATACCTCACTCAAAATGATATTTTCCATCTCCATCCATTTGCCTGCAAAATTCAAAATATCGTTATTTTTTTCTGCTGTGTAGTACTCCATTTTGAGTTTCATCTTATACCTGTAAGAATGGCCAAGATCAAAACCACTGATGACAACTTATGCTGGAGAGGTTGTGGGGGTAAAGTGAACACTCCTGCATTGCTGGTGGGAGTGCAAGCTGGCACAGCTCCTTTGGATGGCAGTGTGGCAATTTCTCAGAAAATTAGGAAACAACCTTCCTCAAGACCCAGCAATACCACTTTTGGGTATATATCCAAAGGATGTTCAATCGTGCCACAAGGACATGTGCTCAATGATGTTCATAGCAGCTTTGTTTGTCATAGCCAGTGGTGCGGGAGAATTATCTGTACTCTGTCAATCATGTATTTTATTAAAACGCTGATTGGCCAGGCAGGAAGTATAGGCGGGTCAACCAGACAGGAAGTAGAGGTGGGGCAATGAGAATAGGATAAGGCTAGGGAGGAGAAAGCGCCCTCAGCCACTCCTGCGCAGACCACCGAAGAGGCAGCATGTAACTTGCCCAGCTGAAAAAGGTACCAAGCTATAAGGCCAACGTAGATAAGGATAATGGGGTAACATAAGTTATAAGAGCTAATAAGTAGCCTGACCTAATGGGCCAATGAGTTTATAACCTAATGGAGTCTTGTGTGTGATTTTTCTTTGTGGCTTGCCGGTTGTGGGGTACTGGGCAGGACAGATATCCCAAGAAGCTGGCCCGTCATTCTACAAGCCAGAACTTGGAAACAACCTAAATGCCCCTCAACAGAAGGATGAGGAAAATGTGGTACATTTACACAATGGTGTCATTCCATTTATAGTTTTCTTTAGAGCTGGGATTAAGGGCATGCACCACCACCACCACCACCAAGCCTCTATGATTTCCTAGTGTGGTTCCTGGGATTAAAGGTGTGTACCACCACTGTCTGGCCTGTATGGCTGACTAGTGTGACTGCTTTGTGTTCTGATTTTCAGGCAAGCTTTATTTATTAAAATAGATGTGAAAATCACTATACCTCCCTCTCTCCCTCTCTTCCCCATCTCACTTCCTGTACTCAATCTACTGAAACACCCATCGCTACAGATCTTTCGGATCTGCCATTGCAAAGTGGTCAAGGACTGGAATCAGGAGGTGTGAGAAGTCAGCAGGGGAGAAGAAATGTTGGTTGTCACTAACCTCTAACTGATGTTCATCACCTCCATCAGGAGAACAGACATCAAACCACAGCAGCAGTATCATGTGTCTCTTATCCCCAGGGAGCGCAGACAGTCCCATTAAAGACACTTTAAAACACACTAGTACATATGTGTACACTGCTCAGATGTTATGTATAACCCAGATCTTTAATCCTTCAGGATATTCATAAACTGAGCTTCCATTGAAATCTTACATATTTTATCTTGTGCATTCTCTGGGATACAGAAGACGTTGAGTCCACACAGAACTGCTTGTCTCTATTGATGTGGATCATGATTACACAGTCTTACCAATCTGGTAAAGGTATACGGTTTTGCTGGACCCTCATCCTGGGCTCCACCCTGACCACTGACTGGCATAAGTGGTGGGTGATGTCTTGAGCTTAGATGACAGGTTCTCTCCACTGAGAACAATCCTATCCACATACTGGACAGCATGGAATCTCAATGGCATACAGAGCGATGGTCTTTGAGGTTCATTTACAATAACTGAATAGGAGCCTGTGCAGGCTGCCACTGTCTTCTGGTACTTTCGGAACAGAAACCTCAGAGCATCTAGTCTGAGCCGTTGAGCCCTGGTGCTGGGGGTCGTGGTGTAGCCAGGTGGAGGAGTGTTTAAGTGGTGGAGTACAAGTCAGAGATTGTGCTCCAATTCAACAATAAATGCCATTTTTTTTTAAAAAAAGACCAAACTCTTCAAATATAATGTGATCAAAGAAACAATCATTTAACCAAATTATGTCATGGACATAATAAAGCTCTCCATCGAGTCCTCATTTTGTTTTGGATAAGGAAAGTGTTCTGTGGAGAGAGAAGGCTGGGGTGAGGGTGGACATAGCGGGGTGTGAAGGAGTTCCCGGAGAACTCAGAGGCATACAGCAGGATGTTACTGCTTCCACATTCCTGTCACTTGCTGCCAGGGCTTGGCTAATAACCTAGGCTCAGTTTAGACTTCCCATTTGTCAAAATCCAGTCATTATTTCCCCTAAATACTCTCACTGTGGAAGGAATAGGTTAAACAAACTAATGCATAAGGTTTAATGTTTATGTTAGGTTCGTTTGTGCATTCTGGAGCATCCTGGGGCATTCTGTTATTCCTCACACCACAGAATCCTGGAGTCCCCCTCAATACCCGACTGCTGCTGTACAATAGAGAGCAGAGGGTTGGTCTAGTTACCGTTTTCAGCCAAGAGAGCCAAAGCGGAGCAGCATGAGAATTTACCAAGAGCGAAGGTTTCCTGTCAACTGAAGCCTCTTTTCTGGAACTGGTTCCTTTGAACTCTAAGACTCAAAATGTTTTCCAGCTTTGGCGTTCTGTACCGTTCTTCCCGGACATCTAAGGCTGGCAGCCCTGGTCTCATAGCCCAGGATCTTGATGTCATGCCCACATCTGTCCGATCCTAGAGGCAGTAAACTGCAAGGGAACTCGGGCTTCAACCCAGACCAACTTGAATTCTTTGGACATCCTACTTGACATTTTGGAACGTCCGCTCTTCCACTGAAAACAGAAACAATTTGTAAAAACCTAGTAAAAAAAAAAACAAAACAAAACAAAACAAAAAACCCTCTTAGTTCATTTGGGGATCCCAGTCAAACCCAGGAGTCTCGCTGCACGCATCGGCCCGGCCGGGAGGGGGCAGCAGACTCCAGCCCTGCGCTCTGGGACCCAGGAAGCTCGGGTGACAAGCAAGTTCCCAGGGTCTCGGTTCCCGCAGCCCTACAGCAGCTCTCCGCTTCTGGGCACAGGAAAGCAGGAGGGTGTGGGATCAGGTGGCACAAAGCAGCTCCGAGGAGGACGCTTCTCTTCCCACTAAAACAGTACTCGGTGAGGGAATGCGCAGGCTCGGAAACTGCTTCCGGGATGAAGTACTGCGCTTGCGCATCCCCGCCCTTTTCCTTCTCCCGCTGCAGCAGCGGCTCAGGGCTGCAGGTGAGCCATGCATCCTTCTGAGAGATGGAGGTTTCTTTGCAACGGGGTGGGGGTGGGGGTGGGGGTGGGGGGGATAAACGGGTCTTTGCTGAGCATGCGCCCTCTCCTTCAATCTCTCAATCTCCTAACTGAGAAAAAATTCAGAGGACCTGTGGAAAGAGAGATGGAGGCTGCCCTTCCAGAGATCTCCCCTGTCCTCATGCTGACAATTTCCTGATTTCTGCCTTCCTGGGGCCCTAAGTATAGCACTTATTTTACCTTCTACCACCCCAGGGGTGAGGTATGGTGGTCGGTACGGTTCAGCCAGAAGTCCTTCAAAAATGACTTTCATGCCTGCATAGCTCAAGGTAGGCAGTTGTTTTGTTTTTTTTAATGGGAAAACGCGTTGTGTATATTTATCTACAGATCTCTTAGTGGCCAGACCTTGGAGAACTTGGTACTGGGCAAGGCAGGAATTTGTCCTTCGGCTTTGTTTGCCGAGCAGTAAATCATTTCGGTGCGTTGCGTCCAGGAGGCTCTTTGGCCTTGTATCAGTACCTAGTCTCCCGTCTGTTTCAGGGACGTGCAGTGAGCACGCCTTCCTCTTCCAGTCACACCCCATTCCTTTCTTGTTCCTACAGCCTCTCCCTTAACGCTTGGTTGTGGTGGGGACAAGTGGCCTCTGCCATGGGGAAGAATCAAGAAATGTGATTGACATGTGTGCATTTTCTCAGTACTCATTGGTTGGAAATGAATTTCCTTTAGCCTTCTTTAGGGCAATGACGAGTTCTCGGTGGAGATGAAGGAACTGTTGGATTCCCGACAGTGTGTGTGTGTGGGGGGAGGCACTGCATGTGATAGTTTCAGGACATTGTGTGTTCGAGCCATCCAGTCACTCATTCATTCGGGGCTTTGAGCTTGGTGCTGTCTGTGTGCAGGTCAGCAATGGACGCGAGTGTGGTTTTGCGCTCAGAGAACTTGACTGACCTAGAAAAGAGAATCAGACAAGCACCACACCATATTTTATACCAAATTAAAGGATTGATGTCTAAGAGAGGATCACAGGAGCAGATTTGGGGTGCTCAGGAAGAAGATGAGTCTACTTTTCACACCTGAAGAAAAACTAAGTCCCTACTATTATCCAGTGATGAAGGAGCTGTCTTTTCAGGTCCGTATTTCTAAATAAGAGTATCTTCCTGGCTGTTGGACACCTCAGTCTATATTCCAAATACCCACACCTCACACACATTTGCTACTGCCCCAGGGCTCTGACTCAGGGAAAAGCATCAAGGCTTCCCACCCCCACATCTCTGAGAGGTCCAGGCCAGACAGCCATCCTTGCAGCTTCCCAGCCTTTCTGGCCCCACCTCCAGTTCGCCAGTTCTAACTGCTGAATCTCTCAAGTTCGTCCACGTTTCTCCACCGGCATTGTCGTTTCTGCAGTTTCTGCAGGGCGGATCACTCTCATCACCTGATTAGTGTACTGCATCAGCTCCCAACTTATGCCCCTGCCTGTCTTATGTTCCACTACCACAGCTAGGAAACACTGGGTAGACTTGCAGTCAGATTGCAAGGCTTGCTTATTTAACCCTTCGCTGACCTTAGGACAGGAGCCACAGCTACCCTTTGCGGGGCTGCTGAGTGCAGAGTGAGATTTCTGTCCTCACAGTCCATTTGTTTCCATTTTTAAGATTTGCTTTATTATTTATTAATTATGTGAGTCTCTGGGTGAGTTTGTGCACATGAGTGTACTTGCCCTCGGAGTTCAAAGGAGGCCATCAGATCCCCTGGACCTAGGGTTCCTGGCAGTTATGAACTACCCACACTGGGTGCTGGAAACAGAGCTAAGGTTCTCTGCCAGGCGATCCTCAGCCCTCCTCCACCCTCTGAATTTGCAGGCCAGCCTTCCGTCCCAAACCCTGGAAGCCTTTGCACACGTTCATTCTTCCGCCTGGAGCACTTGCTCACTGTGCATATTCCTGCTTTCCCCGCAAGATCCCAGCTGGGACCTTGCCTCTCCTGGACATCCTTCCTTGGGCTCCAGTGCCCGCCAGATGCCTGACATCTCGGGGCTCCTCACCCTCTGCTTCTCCCTGCTCTGTTGTACTGTTCACAAGCTTGTGTCCCCAACCTTTCCGAAACTGCTTCCTACTTCCTACAGAGATAATGCTCGATAAATACTTGTTGATAAGGAAGGAGTTTAAATATGCTTTATCGAATGTCCACATGACAGATTTACTCTGTCCGTTGGTCTCTTGTGTGCTGAAACAGTAATGACCTTAAACATAGGAGTAAAAATGAAAGAATACTATTACTGCAAGCTAATAATGGTTTCAAAATATACTTTTATTTTTAATTGGCACATAGTAGTTGTACACATTTATGGGATAGATTATGGCATTTCAATATCATATATTTAATGTTTTATCATCAGTTTAGAGCACTTGGCATAGCTATTACCCCAGATATTTATTATTCTTTTATGCTGGGACCATCCAAAATAATCACGCATACTAGCTACTGAGGAATCTGTGGCCAACCACAGCTATTTCACTTTGCTGAAGGATATTCCAAGCTGTTTCTCCTTGACAGCTACACTCTGTACTGCCAACCTCTCTCCCCCGACCCCATTCCCAGGCCCTGGTCATGTCTTAGCTTCCACGTGTAAGTAAGATCACACAGGATTTGTCTTTCTGTGCTTAGAACAGCTGATGTGTAGTGAATGCTCAGTGTGTGCCGTGGACTATTCTGGAGCTTGGATTCATTTTTAAGTAGCCATGGGAGCTAGACGTTTCTAGTTTCCTTCTGTGAAAATGGAGAGATGGTATTACAGAGCAATGAGGATGCACCTGATTTTACACAGCCTGTGAGCCACGGGATCAGCTTGATGCCCAGGTATGTGGTCCAGCGTGGCTCATCCCTACATAGTGCTAGGGAGGACTCACTGTGCACTGTGCATGGGGCAGAAGAGTGTGAGTCACCAGGTGGATGATGCACTGTGCTCACAGGTGTGGGGCCATTCAGGAGAAGAATTCACAATGGAGAACTCTGAAGCGCATCCCTTCCTCTGCCTGTTCACCTTGTTCAGCCCAATGACTCAGTTCTCAGGGATGCTAGGGCATAGTTTCTAACAACGAGACATCCCTGGTCCCAAAATCTTGGCTCTGTGTGGTTTGGACATTCCTTGCCTTTTCTGTGCCTGTTTCCTCACTTGGGAAATACATGGTAGCACTTCCCTCCCAAGTCCGCACAGTGATTGACTGGGATGGTGTGGAATCAAATGCTAGTAGCTCAGAACTGTATTTCCCATCACCTCTCTAACTGTTTCTTTTTAAGGTTTCCATTTGTTTATTTGTTTAGTTTTAAAAAGTTGAATTAGTTATGTACTCCGTGCTCCCACAGAAGGGTTCATGCAGCGCTGGATGGCCTAGAACTCATGGTGGAGTTCAGGCTGGCTTCAAATTCACATAGATCCTGACTGGGATTTAAGGCATATGCCACTATACCCCAGCCAGGGCCTTCCACACACAATGTGTGTGTGTGTGTGTGTGTGTGTGTGTGTGTGTGTGTGTGTGTGTACTTCATCACTGTGCTTATCCATTCCTTGTTTTTATTTTTTTCCCACATCACAATTCTTCTCTAGTTTTCTGGGTTTTTTTTTTTTCTTTTTAATGTTTTTGGGTATTTTGTTTATATGCCTGTCTGGACACCAAGGAAATTCCTGGTGCCCATGGAGACTAGAGGAGTGTTCCTGAGCCCCTAGAACTAGAGTTACAGGTAGTTATGAGCTTCCCTGTAGGTGCTGGGAATTGAACCCAGCATTATGGAAGAGTAGGCTGTGCTTTTAACCACTGAGCTGTCTCCAGCCCCTGCTATTATATGTTATCTCTTTTTCAGGCATCAAATGTTTTTTTAATGCAGGTCCTTCCTGTATATTTTGCATCTTGATGCTACTTCTTGGGTACAGATGACATCTGCTGGATTAGTTCTTCATGTCAGTGTGAGAGTTCTCTCCGTGCTGCCTTTTCTGTGACTCTGTGTGTGTGTGTGTGTGTGTGTGTGTGTGTGTGTGTGTGTTTGCGTGCGTGTATGGTTTTTTAAAACAAAACCTCATGCTGTAGCCTGACTGGCCAGGAAACCACTGTGTAGTGAGGTTGGTCTTGAACTCCTGGAAATTCTCCTGTCCCAGCTTCCTACATGCTGAGATTACAGGCGTGAGCCACCACATTTGGTTTATAGTATACTTTGAGTGACTCCGAGGAGAGTTTCGCACCTATCCTATTCTGAGTCAGTCTCATAGAACTGGTTCATCTACAGGAACACACAGGTGAGCCAGGGATACAACTCCGAAGTAGAGCAGTATGTGAAGACCTGGATTAGCTTCCCCATTAGAACACACATGCTCTTACGTATGCACACACAGACAAATGCACAGGAAACCTCAAACAACATTACCATGTTCATATTTACTAACATCAGTATTTTTCCTATGAACAAGTAGATAGAAAAATTTTAAAAATATAAAAATGTAAAGATTCCGTGGCTAGGTAAGTCCTAGGTCCTAGGGAGAGCCTCCTGCTGTTACCCTGATGAATGGAAACTGTATGGCAATGACTCCTCATAGCCTATTGCTGAACCCATACATTAGTGTGGTTTTCAGTCCTCATCAGAGAAACTCCCTGCAGTAGTCAGAGACTTCCAGTTGGTCACCATTCCGAAGATATTTGACCTGTGCTAAGCACTGAATGGGTTGCCTCTCGTACCCCTCCCTGCAGGCTCAGGAGTCATCCAGGAATAAGGGGTGGAGAGACTGCAAGAGCAAGAGGTTGTAGATGCTGACAGTGTTCTCTAGACACAGCCGGGCACGTGTGAACTCACATCGATTCTCACAGTGTGCACCAGGCCCGTGCAAGCTCCAGCCCGACAAATCCCAGGATGGAGAAGGGGAGATGGACACAAGTCCCACCCTCACTTGAGGAGCTCTTAGCATCTGGTTGTTGTGTTAGAGGGAAGGTCAGTTTCCTAAGTGTATGACCCTTGATAGGTCTACCACTGTCTAGGCCTCACACCCAAGAGCATTTTAGAAACGCAAATTTGACTTTATGAGAAAGAAAGAGAGAGCACAAAGTGTGTTTGATCTGGGAAGATTTGGGGGAGGTAAGAGAAGGTTAAAAATACATTATATGGAATTCTCAAAGAAATAATAAAAATATTATTAAAAAGTCAGTAGTCAGTGTAGACTTTAAGCAGTTGAAGAACCACATCTACATCCCTCACTTTGGGGACATGGGGAGATGAAGGGGCCTGACCTGTGGATCCACAGCCACCAAGAGCAGTGGTTCTCGACCTTCCCAATGCTGTAATTTTTAGTACAGTTCCTCACTTTGTGGTGACCCCAATCCTCCTATTATATTAAATGCTGTTCTGTAAGTGTAATTTTCTACTATTGTGAATCGTAATGTAATATCTGATATGGAGATGATCTTAGGTGACCCTGTCAAAGGGTCATCTGACCCCAAAAGGATTACAACCCACAGGTTGGGAACAACAGAGCTACAGCCTGATTTCTTTTCCCCTGAGACTATCTCACTTCTGTTGCATCCTGGGAGATTGAGGACAGGATTTCAGTGGAACTTCTCTCCATCACTGAGGGTGCTGTACCTGTCCCAGGATTCACAGGACAATCAATTAATTTCAGTGAAGGGCAATTATAATGCTCAGCGATTTACTATTGGTTACAAGTGGATGTCTTGTCCACTGGGATATTGGTAACAAAGCACATGGTCAGAGTGAATCCTCATTTAGAGGAGGCAGAAGCCACCACTGCAGAGCCCTCTCCAGACGAAGTCCAAAGAGTCGGTGAAGAAATAATTGAGAGCAGAGGCTGGGGAGAAGGTGCGGAGGACGATGGGCGCAGGGCTGGCTGTGTCTCATAGGGCGAGGGGGTGGGGAGAAGGTGCGGAGGACGGTGGGCGCAGGGCTGACTGTGTCTCATAGGGCGAGGGGGCGGGGAGAAGGTGCCGAGGCCAGTGGGCACAGGGGCTGGCTGTGTCTCATAGGGCGAGGGGAAAAGGCCTTGCAGGCCTGGAGTCGAGGATTGCTGGTGCTGTCTAGACCTCTGACCAGAGCGGAAGTCTCATTTAGAAATGAAACAGCAGAGGGTATGGCAGATCTTGAAGAGGGCATCACAGAATTAGCTGACGGATCCCCACTGCACATGCGTGTTTGGAGTGATGAGATGGGGGAGAGGAGCTGGGTGGTACAAGAGAGAAGATAGAGCTTCCTTTGTGTGGTGGGCCAGAGAAATCCCGCAGCTTCGTGGGATACCTATCATGTGTACACACATTTCTTCTCCAGAACGCTATATCATATGCCTCTCACCCTTTCCTTAGACTTGAATCCTCACCAATGGACCTGGTTGGTTTTGGTTATGCAGCCCTTGTGACAATTGGAAGTATTTTGGGATATAAGCGAAGAGGTAAGCCAAAACTTTCCTGTTTTCCGTCCCTCCGTTTCTCCCTCTCTTCCTCCCTCCCTGCCTCACTTTGGATACAGTGTTCCATGTAGCACAGGCTGGCTTCAAACCCACTGATCTGCCAAGTTCTGGGACTATAGGTGGGCACCACCACGTCCTACACAAATTCAACAAAGGAGCCGGTGGCTATACTGGGGAGTTGATGACTGAAGTTCAGCATTGATGGCTGTAATGGGGAGCAGGTAATTATAGTGGGGTGTCGGTGGTTATAGTGGGGAGTTATGTCTGTAGTGGGGACAGAAATGTAACTCTTCAAAGACTGAAATTTTATAAACCACCATGGAATAATTGTTGAGATAAGTTTTGTTAAAGATTTATGTAAATGTCTTCTATTGCTGAACTGAAAAGAATTTCTAAATATTTCTGCCTTCCTTGTTAAAGGGTGCTCTCTCTTTCTCTCTCTCTCTCTCTCTCTCTCTCTCTCTCTCTCTCTCTCTCTGTGTGTGTGTGTGTGTTTATGTGTCTGTGTGTGTATCTGTCTCTCTATTGTTGTAGGGTATTAACCAGGCTGCTTGAACATGGTTTTATTTAAACCTATAGTAAGTCTTTATTAACTGTTCCCCAACTACACTGGGTGTTCAAGATTCCAGTATAGTGGTGTGGGTAGTCATTCTGTATATGTGTTGTTGGTTAATAAAGAGACTGGCTTGGACTGTGATAGGGTAGAGTAGAGCTATGTAGAGAAAACTAAACTGAATGCTGGGAGAAAGAATGCAGAAGGGTATAGAGAGTTATAAAAGGAAGTAAATGGTTTTAAAAAATAAAACAAAGTCTTTAAAGAGATATGGTACAGACAGTCAAAGATTATAAGGAGTAAAAACTGAGGCACATAAAGATGGAATATACACAGAGAGTCTGGACTATATATATTATTGTGTTTTCTTTGAATTGTTTTGACTGTGAATGAGCTCAATACAGAGAGACATTTCATTAAATGGACTGCTAAGCTAAACCAACCTGTATATTTTAAAGATATCTTGATTCCAAAACTTGGGTCTAAGGATTTGTTGCTTTGGAAAGAGGTTTTTCTTTTGTTTCCACAGAGGATGAGAATCTATGTAATCCTTCCAGACTATTGTGGTTTGGTGGACTAAGACCCTCTGAAAGGTTGCCATGTACACTCCCCAAAAATTACTTGGTTCAACAAAAGCAGGACATTGTTTGAAGAGAGCTAAGCCCAAATTCCCCAAATGATTGTTTATAAATGTTTGATTATATTTAAAGGGGATATGCTATAGAGATTTGCATTGGTATGGATCTTTCTCTATTGATACAAAATTTAGATCAATTTTGTTATATGTATATTTCTATTCTTGATTAAGGTATTGTGTTTGTGCAGCTCATTTAAGAATGTAATGTATAATTAAGAAATATAGGTCAATAGAGAGTCATCTATAATAGTCAAGCTTGTAGTCATGTTAGTTACGTTTTCTAGATGTACAGAGATATATTTCAGATGGATAGCAGTTCTTCAAATCTTTCGAAGATCTTCAGGATATGGTGTTAAATCTTAGGACTTTTTATGACAATGAGACACATCTGCTCCTGGCAACATCAATTATTTCAAGAGAATAATGGGCATTGAAGAGGCTCCTCATGGAGTTTTCTAGCCATTTGGGCCAGAAATTGCTCTTCCCTGGATCCCTTAATGTTATACTGTATGAACTGGACATGCAGGACCCACAGAAAAATAACTGCTGAACGTACCTAACGGTGTGATGATCCTTCAGGATTCCTGCTTCATGAAAACGTCTACTAGACATTCTGTAGTGACTGACAAATAACCAATAGAGGCAAAACAGTCTTTAAAATTTCCTGCTTCGTGGAAAAGTCTGCTGGATACTATGTCCTATAGGCTGAAGATGGATGTCACAACAGTACAAAAGAACTTTGGGTGACTGTTCAGGCAGCAAGATGTCTCTGTCAATTCTAGAGTTTTGGAAGTTTTTTACAATGCACTTTTTGTTTACTTAGGTAATATGCCCTTCTGTGACCTTTGATAGACTTGAAAAATAGTTATAATTACAATTTCCCTTAGTTATGATAAAAGATAAAGTAGGTATAAATATTATAACTAATTTTTCTTGATAGCTGTTTTGTTATATATAATTTTACTATGTTAAAATTAAAATCTTTTTTTATTTAAAAGGGAAAATGGTATGGAAAGTTATTCTGTATATGTGTTGCTTTTATTGGTTAATGAATAAAGAAATTGCCTTGGCCTGTGATAGGGTAGAGTAGAGTTAGGTGGAGGAAAACTAAACTGAATTTTGGGAGAGAAAAGGCAGAGTCAGGAGAAGCCATGTAGTCCTTCCAGAGGCAGATGCTGGACAGCACCTTGCTAATAAACCACAGCCAAGTGGCGAAACACCTATTGATAGAAATGTAATAAATTAAGATATAAGAGCTAGTCAGTAAGAAGCTAGGGCTAATAGGCCAAGCAGTGAGTTAATTAATACAATTTCTGTGTGGTTATTTCGGGATTCTAGGAAAGGAGGGACAAACAAGCGACCTTCTACAACAGTGTAGCCCCAAACCCTTTTCAGGGTGAGCTTTTAACTACAGAAACTGATCTGAGTTGACATACTTTAGTTAACAAGAACAGTTAGGCAGAATCAGAACTACTGAAGCCCAAAAAGCTAAGTTAGTTACCTTTAGAGACTTTGCTAGAACTAGGGATTTTCATGGGTTAGGTCTGTTTTCATTTTGGCAGACGGGACTCTCTACATGCTGAGTTTTACATGTACATGAATGGTACTTTCATCATTGAGTCAGTTGTGCTAAAATCTAGAAGCCTACTAAGGTCTTGGACTCTGTTACACTATGTCTGTCTGTCTACAGGCATGCATGGATGGCTACAGTTTGTGACCCAGCAACATAGCTTAATTCTCTATGGGTATTTAACATATAGAGATACTTCGACTTCCACCTGGGACTTCTAATCTAAAAGAGTTTAAATTAGTTGAATTCTCTAAAGCAAGAATTACACACAAATTATTCAGTGTCTCCAATGTGCAGCTCTCTGTCTAGAGCATGGGAAGTACTTAGTATTTATCATGGTGCATCATGGTGGGTGGCTTGACTAGACACAAGGTGGCTGTGTCTTCTACTCTCCTTTTGTTTTTGAACGCTGCTATCTTGAGACTAGAAGATGATTATTCAAGACAGAGCCATTTCTTGACCTGCACTGCACTTCTCTCCTCACCCTCATAAGATAAAATATTTATAAAACCCATTTCCTGTCCTTTAACCCCTTAGTAAAAAGATGCTACCCAGGCGACTGGGGACATGATGGAAGAAGATGAGCAACTGAGGAAGTCTTTCTTACTCTTACCCATATTGCCTACCTGTGCAGTGTAGTGTTCATGTTCTCCCACCTTGCATTTAGTGTTTTGCAGGAAACTATCTGTGAAGAGATTCATACTTCATTTGCCTTTGTCTCTGTGGTGGTTTAAAAGAAAATACCCCCATTAGGGAGTGGCACTATCAAGAGGTATGACTTTGTTGGAGTATATGTAGCCTTGTTGGAAGAAGTGTATCCCTGTGTAGGCGGGTCTTGAGATCTCATATATGCTCAAGATACCACCCAGTGTCTCAGGCAACTTCCTGTTGACTGCAAGATGTAGAACTCTCAGCTATTTCTCCAGCATCATGTCTCACTGCCATTTCCCACCATGATAATAACGGATGAAAACTCTGAACTGTAAATGAGCCATGCCAATGAAATGATTTTCTTTATAAGAGTTGCCATGGTCCACTATTTAGGAGACCACTTCCTAAATATAACCCCAGAAGCACAGACACTGAGAGCAGCAATAAATAAATGGGACCTCCTGAAACTGAGAATCTTCTGTAAAGCAAAGGACACCGTCAATCAGACAAAAGGCAGCCTACTGAACGGGAAAAGATCTCCACAAACCCCACATCAAACAAAGGACTGTTCTCCAAAATATATAAAGTACTCAAGAAATTAGACATTAAAATTCTAAATAACCCAATTAAAAATGGGGTACAGAACTAAACAGGGAATTTTCAACAGAAGAATCTCAAATGGCTAAAAGATACTTAAGGAAATGTTCAACATCCTTAGCCATCAGGAAAATGCAAATCAAAACATCTTTGAGATACCATCTTACACCTGCCAGAAAAGCTAAGATTAAAAACACCAATGATATCTTATGCTGGAGAGGATATGGAGTGAGGGGAACACTCATCCATTGCTGATGGAAATGCAACTTGTCCAACCACTTTGGAAATCAATATTTCAGTTTTTCAGAGAATTGGGAATCAACCTATCTCAGGATCCAGCAATGCCACTCTTGGGCATATACTCAAAATATGCTCAACCATACTACAAAAGCATTTGTTTAACTATGTTCATAGCAACATTATTTGTAATACCCAGAACCTGGAGACAAACTAGATGCCACGCAACTGAAGAATGGATAAAGAAAATGTGGTATATTTACACATTAGAGTAATACTCACTGGTAAAAAAACAAAAACAAAAAAAAAACACCCAATGACATCTTGAATTTTGCATGCAAATGGATGGAATTAGAAAACACTATTCTGAGTGAGATAACCCAGACCCAAAAAGATGAATGTGGTATGTGCTCACTCATAAGTGGATGCTAGCTATAAACAAAGGACATTGAGCCTGTAGTTCATAATCCTAGAGAAGCAAAGTAATAAGGTGAATCCAAATAAAAACATATATAGACCCACCTGGAAATTGGAAACAGACAAGATCGCCTGATAAAGTTGGCATTATGGGGGTAAAAAGGAGAAGGGATGGTGGAAGGGGAAGTGAAGGGGAGAAGGGCAGGAGTGAGGAGAACTTGAGGGAATGGGATAGTCAAGATGGAGGAAGGACAGAGATGAGAGCAAGGAAAGAGCTATCTTGATTGAGAGAGCTATTATAGGATTAGCAGAAATCTGACTCTAGAGAAATTCCCAGGAATCCACAAGGCTGACTCCAGGTAAAACCCAAAGCTATAGAGGAAAGGGGGTCCAATCTTGATTTGCCCTGTAGTCAGACTGATGAATATCTTAAATTTCATCATAGAGCCTTCATCCAGCAACTAATGGAGGCAGAGGCAGAGACCCACATGAATTCCTTTCATTTTTAAGGTTTTCTCTCTCTTCAATATTTGCCTCTTTTTTCTTTTCTTTCTTTTTTCTCTCTTTTTAGGCCAGGTCTCTGTATATAGCCCTGAAACTCTGTATAGACCAGGCTAACCTCAAAATCATAGAGCTAAAAGGCGTGTGCCACAACACCTGGCTGTAGTTCTCTTTTCCTCTTCTTCATTTTAAAAATACTTATTTTTGTTATTTTTAACTGTGTGTATGTGTGGATATGTATGCAGAAGTGCAAGAGCCCGAGGAGGCCATGCAAGAGCAGTGCTTCCTACTAACTGGATAGCTATGTATTCAGCTCATGTATCCTCCTCTCTGTCTCTCTCCTCCCACAGGCGGAGTTCCATCTTTGATTGCTGGTCTTTCTGTTGGGGTTTTGGCAGGCTATGGAGCCTACCGTGTCTCAAATGACAAACGGGATGTCAAAGTGTCATTGTGTAAGTGATATGTTTTCTGCAGTTCCAGAGGTTCAACCTGGAAGATGTTACCTTCACACTTTGTACCAGGCGTACTAGAAAATGAACCGTCAAAGTGTCCATGAGTCTGTGTCAAGACTGAACATAATTCTTGTTGCTTTCTGGACAGAACTGATCAAACTTATAATACTGATGGCCTAGCCTTCCACTTCATTTCTTTGCTTCCCCTGCCCCCTAGACAGGGTTTCTCTTTGTAATATTCCTAGCTGCCTTGTAGCGAGCTCTTGTAGACCAGGCTGGCCTTGAACTCACAGAGTTCTGCTTGCCTCTGCCTCCCGAGTCCAGGGATTAAAGGCATACACCACCACTGCCCGACTTCACCTCATTCTATAACATGTGTTGCAAGAAATTAAATCAGAATTCTGTTTAGTGCACCGATAGCTGTATGTACAGCTATGCCTTACGATTCTCTAAAGAACAGTACTTTTACTTGCTGTCCTAGAATATTTTTCCCCTGTGCACAACAGGAGAATGCCTGTTGTTTAACCCCCGGGGTACCTGGTTTAAGTTTTTTCACTAGCAAACACTGATAATGTTTAAAATTCTAATTCACGGTATTTGGGTTTCAGTTACAGCTTTCTTCCTGGCCACCATAATGGGTGTGAGATTCAAGAGATCCAAGAAAATAATGCCTGCTGGGCTGGTTGCAGGCTTAAGGTGAGAACCTTGCTTCTGATCTGTGCTTTCCTGTACAGTGTTCAGAGTGGTGACAGGCTACAGCAGTACCTCCCCAAATGTGCCCAGTCTTGCTAAAGTGTGAATTGTGTGAAGAATTCATTTTCATTGGGGATGGAGAGATGGCTCACTTCCAGCTCTTGCAGAGGACCAGGTTTGGCTGGTGGCCACCTGTAACTCTGGTTCTAAGGGATCCAACCCTCCCTTCTGGCCTCCGTGTGCACCAGTTACATACAAATATATGCGTGCGGGCAAAGCATTATTACACATAAAATAAAAATAAGTTAATATTTTTGAAAAGAAATTGATTTTCATGCTGGGGAAGTGACTTAGCAGTTACAAGCTGCTTTCCCAGAGGAACTGGATTTGGTTCCCAGAACCCACACTGGGTGTCTTACAGCCACCTGAAACTTTAGGTCCAGGGGATCAGGCAATGTCTTCTGGACTTTGCAGACACACACACACACACACACACACACACACACACTGTATTAAATCTTTTAAAGTATTTTTAAAAGAATTAATTTTCATCTGAAAGGTCAGATAATTATTGCAATATTTTAACTATAACAGACATAAGCCACCATGGATTCAGTCATTCTTTGGTGTGACAACATTCCCCTCCGATGTGCTTTGTAGTATCCAATCAGATGTACACGTTTATCTTTATCAGACTTAAAAATTAAGTTCCCCCTCAATTTTCCTCAAGATTTCTTCACTTGTAAAATGATTTAGTAACAGTCTGAGTCATTGAATTCCAAAAGGAGATTTTTTTTTTTTTAGCTAGTAACCTTAAATTTCTCCTATTTTGAGTCAGGATATGCATTTCATTTCATTTATTTGTTTATGTTTTTGGTTGGGTGTATTAGTATATTAAATGTTTTTTGTTCCTGTGATAGATATCCTGACAAATAACAACCTAGAGGAGAAGAGGGCTTATGCCA